GGCCGGGGGTGAGGCGGGGGCGGCACCCGGCCCCGGGATGGAGCCCGGGGCGGGCCGACCTTGGTGAGGGCGCCTCGTCCTTGGGTCTCCTTCCTTGGCGGCTGGCCCGGCCCGGGAGCATCGCCGTCGGGGGAGCCTGCCCTCCCGGCCGTCACCTGCCTTGGACTTCGGGGTGGCTTTTCTTTTTTCCCCCCTTTTCTCTGGATAAAGGAAACTGAGCTAATTTTGCCTCGTCGAGAGAGAACAAGTGGCTTTTAATGCCTCTGCAAGAAGGAAATGGCTATATGTGCATTTGTGTTTTAATGCTTGTGATGTATTTATTAGGTGCTGTGCAAATAACGCTTAGATTAAGAGGCTTTTAACGTTCCCGTTATGCAAATAGACAGTCTTCCCGTTGCTGCCAGCCACAGCTGGTGTGCCACCCTTGCGATGTTGAATTCGGCTCCTGTTGTAACGGGTCAGCTGGAGGTGCCACATCCGGAGCTGCCAGCTTTAGCTCTGGCAGGCGGGCGGACTAGAGCGGGCTTCTGCTGTATCTTTACGTGAGCAGAATTGGGTTGTGGGTGCGCATGGATAGGTATTTTCTGCTCCCGAGGCACCAGGCAGCTGCGCAGTGCTTCAAATGTGGAGGCTGAACCAGGTCCTTCTCCCAGAGTGCCTGTACCTGTCTGCCTAGGACTGATTTCCATTTGTGGAGTCGATCTGCAGGCTGATGATCCGATTCCTCTGTTATAAACCTACCTGTTGCGGGAAGCTTTCTTGTTCAACCCTGTTGTGCTCCGTCGCTAGACCTGCTGTGTATTTTCTGAGACCTAGGAGTGGTTTTGACCTTTAAGGTGTCTTTGGTGTTAAGAGCATCCTGGCTGGGAACCTGATTAAATAAGCTACCTCCCAGCGTTTGCCTTTTGATATTACAAAACTCAAAGGCGTTACGCTGCAGACAACAGCATTAGTGTTTGGTTTGTTACAACAGCACCTCCTATGACCGTGCTCTGGAAAAAATTTCCACACGTCCCTGACGTCACAGCCATTTGCTTTACGCTGCCTGGATACCAAAGAGTGCTTTTAACTCCTGGAGCACCACGCTACCGCACCCAGCTCTGCCCGCCAGCCCGGGCTACTTCTCCTGCCTCCGGTGCACGTGAGGAAGACAAGAGGATGGAATGCCTTTCTGACAGTGTCCCTCAGCCTCCGTGTCGCTGGCTGTCCTTCCTGCTCGCCTGTTTTTCATAGGCTTGAAAAGAAGACAACCAGAACTGCCTGCTTCCATCAGGAGGCTTCTCCACTGATGGAGCTCTTTTACGATGGGGCTGAGGAGAGAGGAGGAATACTTCCACTTACTGCTTCCTCCCCTTCTCTTGTAGCTCGTCACTTCAGGTCCTTCAAATAAACCACCTCCTTTTCATCTGCAATTAGATGAGGACAGTCCGAGATCAAGCAGGCTCTCTTTCAAGTACTCTTTGGCCTCTGCACTGTCCTGCTTGTTCCTGCGGCCTGATTAGCATATAGTTGCTTGGCATGAGCTGGCTTATCCTTCCCGTAGGCAGCCTGGTGATGCCTAGTACAGCATGTTACTGTGCAGTTAATCAGTTGAGGTAATCCTTGTAAACTGGTAACTGATACCCAGAGTCTGAGCCATGCTGTGTCTCCAGGCTCATCTCCACCCGTGCCCCCTCGCCCCCCCCCGATTATTCTAGGCATCTCCCTTTAGACCAAAACTAAATTCAGTCTTTTGTTATTATGTAATTTGCTTTTTAATTGGTATGAGCAGCGCTCATACCCAAAGGAGCGCCTTTGTAGACATACAAGACTGGTAAACCTGTAGTACTGTGACATGTCTGAGTACTTTCCTACGTTCGAGATTGAGTATTGGGCCTGAATTCTGCTCCTGTTGTCTTTAATGGAGGCGATAGCCTGAATTACTAGGGGAGATCAGGCTTTACAATTGCTTGTAAACCTGAATGTACCATTTACTGTAGACTCTCCTAGAAATAGCTTTGAGGCCCAGAGCTTTGTGGAATGGCTGTCATTCAGAGCACGCCCGTAGCATGGCTTCTTGCCATTGGGCACTTACTTCACTGAAAGTCTGTCACCTGTGACAGTGTGTGATGGTAGCTTTGGGTCAGCCGAAGAATCCTTTAAAATATGGAAGAACATGGTTTAATCTTCATGTTTTACAATCCTAAATGCTGATTCATGGATTTCGAGGTTTTCAGGGGCTCATGCTTCCAGCCCCTCAAACGACTGGAATGACTTACATTTTTGTGTCTGTCTGCATCAGGGCATAATCTCACTGTTAAATACATGTCTCTGCAGCAGGGCTTGCCATCTCAATTCAGTGTGCTGGGCTCTTCCTTGCAAGTGGCAAAGGTTGGAAATTTTGTCCTGAAATGTGACTGCCTTGAGGGCTTGATTTGATTCCTCTTTCTGTTTGTTTCCTCTTGCAGTTAAGATCCTCCTCTTCTATGTCATCTTCTACGGTTGCCTGGCAGGTATATTCATTGGGACCATCCAAGTGATGTTGCTCACTGTCAGTGAATTTGAGCCCAAATACCAGGATCGAGTGGCACCTCCAGGTAACTAAATAGGAGGCCCATGTTTGACTTAATGCAAGCTGTTCTGGGGAGGCGGGTTGGTTACTCACCTCAAGAAGGAGGATGAAATAAGCATGTTGTTGCTGTAACACATATTTGTAGGGGGTGGGTATGTTCTCAGCCTTCTGTGTTAACAGTACTGGGGCTTGAAGGCACAATCCTGCTAGAATTAAAGGTTGCATCACATGAAATGTGCTTCCTGTCTGAGAGGAGCTTGAACCTGGATTGCTGCTCTTCCCTACCCTTAACTTGAAGCAATGGAGTGAGGCTAAGAGGCTTCATTTGGGAATGAGCTGTATGAAGAAGCTGGGTTCGGTTTTTCTTTCTTCATGGCCACTGTGTTCCCATGGGTAAGTGAAGGGACAAAGGTAAAATGTTAGCTTTACCTGTGAAACTGGGGTGCACAAGGAGAACCAAGGGGACCGTACCAATTGTGGGTGTGCTTACTGAATTGTATTAGCCAACACTGAACTACACTGTGTGGTCTAGGGGAGATGGTAGCATTTACTAATGGGTATTTCAATTGAATGTGTCATGGGAGGTTAAATGTGGGTCTTGTAGTTGCTGATGCATGACCTATCTTTACTAGACAAAATAAGTCTCTGCTCAAAGTTAAAATGATCACTTGAGCAGTGTCTGTGGCCAGCCTGCCTTGGGTAGGGGCAAATGGAGTAACTTGGGTAGGGGCAAATGGAGTAACTAGCCCTTGCCGCAGGTTCCCTGCTCTGCCTGTCCAGGCTCTGCTGCACTATCTGATTCCGGCTGCAGCCAGCGGCTGCTCAGAGTGTGGCGGGGGAGCTGTGCAACTGCTGCTTTCCCACATTACAAATGACCTTGAGGCTGCTTGGCACTGGGGATGGTAACGATCTGTCTCCAGTTGCTCTGTAAAACAGTTCAGAAGCTTTTAATAACAGTGGTATTTAAGTGACAATTGTGAGGCTGATGGCTTGTAGCTGCAGAAGTTGGCTCTGGTGTCACATGGTGTCTTACAGCCCCACTGTCTGCAGTGCTATGCTGTGATTATTCCCTGCTCTAACAACACAGGGAACATTACCATCACCAAATGAAGTTATATCTCAGCAAAGAATCATCTTTTTCAGATAATTGCTCTTCCACCAGCACTTTTTAAAGACAGAACAGAGACTGGAACTGCCGCATTAGCGTGTGGTGCTTCTTAATGTACCAGCATGGCTGGGGTAAATGCTGTCTTAAGCACTGAAGGTGGCTGTGTTGGTCTCTGCAATGGTCTCTGACATTTGCAGGAAAGACTAAACTGTCACTGATGCTGCCCAGAGCTGTTAGCCACATTGGCTTTTCAGATGCAGCTAATGGTGGAGTAGTTGTTATTTTAATAATGTGTTTTTCCCCGACTGAAGCCCAGTGGTCTCACCAGACGTGAAGTAATTAGCGAAGAAGCCCATGGATCTTGGGTCACATCCAGATAGACCTGCTGTTTAGCCTGATGTCACATAATTAGTCGCTCTAGGTAAACTGTTTGCTTTCTGTGTAATAGCAGTTTGCAATTCTAATTTCAGAGCAACTCTGTGGTAAAATTTCTGTGTAGGATTTCAGCCTGCACAGGATTTTTATTCATCTTAATTGCGTACTGCAGAAGTTTTTCTGGGGCTTATCCTTTTTTTAACCAAAAAAGGGAACTGAATTTCAAGATGTTCTTGTAGCGTGTGCTACAGAAATCAAAATGGAGGAAGAATGAAAAGGTCATCAGGGATCTTTGTAACGGGCTTTCAGGACGTGTACTGAAATCAAGGGGAACAAAATCCAGCTCCTTGAATATATGACAGTAGGCAGCCCAATAAACAAGGGTTTTGAACCAAGCTGTAATGGCGCATGCGTACAACTTCGAGGAGGTACCAGTTAATAGCACAGGGTCCTTTGCAGGGCATCATGTGACAACTCTTTCTACAGATGTGGACAAGCTAGGGGTAAGGTGTGGTGGAGACTGGCTCTTAACATCGAGTCCGTTCCTCGTCCAGTAGCACAGCAGTCATTAGACCACAATGAGTCAAAAATAGCCTTTTAATGTGGGCTTTCGGAGATTGATACTGTAGTGAGTTGCTGCACTGCTGTGTTTGGGAGGTCAGCAACCCCTGGATTCCCCTGCTGCGAAGGGCTTTCCCCTGCGCTGCAAGCATGACTGCTCTTCTGGCAATGAACACATGTTCATTGGGCTTTCGTTGCCCACACGTGTGGGCATGTTCCCTCCTGCACTTGGTGAGCATCTAACTAGAATTTTCTGTGATCCGGGACCCCGGCAGACTGTGAACTACATAAAACAGGGTGTTATGCAATTCTAATTCCTGGTTCTTGTGGGAAGATTTGCAAGACAAGTAAGTATATTGGCACCTTGATAGAGCCCTGGGTTTTCTAGGAAGCTAGAAAACGTGGGTTTATTCTTGTTACAGTGTGCTCTGTCAATGGGCAAGTCGCTGCTGTGTCAGTCCAATATGGCTGGGAAAGGGGACACTACACTTCCCTTCAGGATTTGCAGGAGAAAATGCTGTAGGGGCTGCTATAATATCATTCTTGTTCTGAAATACAACAGATTTCATAACAGCAGCAGAACCTGCAGGATGTTTTATTGAGTTATTGACATGGGTATAACACTGAAAGCCATAAAGTGCTATTTTTGTAGCCAAGTGTCGTTACTATGCTAATTGGTTTCTGCACCGAACACAACAGGAATGTTATACAGGGCTTCAGGGCAAGCTGAGTTTTGTACCTTTCCATGATACTTTTTTCCTCCTCTTTTGTCTTGGGGTGGGGGAAGGGACAGTGCAGTTCACTTTCTTGTCCAACTGTGCCATTGCGACAGCCCCAGCTCCCAGTTCCACGTGTGCTGCAGGCTCAGACTCTGCTTTAAGCACAGAGGACTTAGCCTGCTAATAGGGAAGGATGAGGATATTGCCTCTTAAACACAGTATACTGAGCATTTAAAAAATACTACTCCATTCCTCTCCTCCCCTTCCCCACCCCAATAGAAACTGGGCTGTGTATCCTGCCATCTTGTGGTGTGCATCCTGTGAAACACAGCGTCCTGTCGCTAAGGCTGCTGTAGGGGGGAAGAGAGCTCACTGCTGCCTGAGGCTCTTTTTAAGTGGCGGCTGGAAGAATCCCTGCTGGAGCCAGGGGATTTCGGGTGTCCCCCCTTCAAGTGCTGCCTGGCCATGATGTGCCTGGGCAGTGAGCGTATCCTGGAAAAGGCTGCTCTGGTGTGTATTCCCCACTTGGCTTATTTAGCTCTGATAGCAGCAGGGAGGTGGCAGGAAAGCCCCAAGGAGTGTATGCCACCTCCTGTGAAGCAGCACTTTCCTGCTTCTGTCTCTTGTTGTCTCAGTACCTATGTTTGGAAAAATCTGACTCTCAAGCTCCAGGGATGTTATCTGCCAAGCAGGCTTTGCTGCATTTGTAGAAAACTTGCACCTGCTTTTTGCACTTTGGGGATGAGGTAGAGGGTGGTGACTAGAAGCTTGGAAGAACATCGCTTGGCATGGAGGCTTTTGAAGTCTATCCTCATTTAGTGAGCTGGGGGGTGGTAAATAGAAATGGTACAGCGATCACTCAATTTGTCATCTGTGTCATCCCAGGAATGTTCAGACTCATTCTGAACCAAGATTTTACAGTACTTGGAAATGAGCATTGCATGATGAAGCAGGAGTGGTTACTATGGACTTACATAACCCATTCCTAATAACAAGCCTGACTCCCCACTTCTAGTTTCTTTTTCTTCACCCTCAGGACACTGTTTTTCCTGAGGTCTTGCTCCTGCAGCTTAGAATGGTAAAGTTTATGTGGAAAATCTGGTTATAAATGAAGTTGAATAAATGTGATTTTAATCTGCAGTGGTGTTTTGGAAGTGGAACTGTAGCTGAAAAAAAAAATCAATTACTTTACATGCTTTTTTGGCTTTTGGTATCTTTGTACATCCAAGAGTTAGAAACCCAATAGAAGGTGGTGTCTGCTACCGGGTCAAGGCATCACTCATCATTATGTGGACAGTGTCAGTCAACATGGTGCTATCTTCACTTTCCTAGCAATGCACTCTAAGAGCCAATTGCAGAAATTTTCTAAAGTAGTTTGTCAGTATTTTAGCAATAAGTTCCTTGATTCTTCTACATGTGAAGAACAGCATCACCACACGTGACACCATGGTGCATCTCTGTGGTAATAGCATGAGATGCAGAACTGTGGCAAACACATTATAGTCTGAAGATGCGGAGAGGGCTGTTTAGACCCCTGGCTATGGAAGCACTTGAGGCTTTGTTTCTCCCCCCCCCATAGGGCTTGCTTATGCATGGCTAAGAAGCTTAGTCGTCCCTGTACTTTATTGGAGCCACATACTTCCTTAGGTGTCTAGCAACCCACTGGAATGGCTCAGATTTGTAACTTTTTTCTTGTCCCTACTTGCTTCTGTTCCCCTAATGGGTATGAGAGAAGGTTTCAGAAAGGTTACGGATGTGTTCTGCAGAGGTTACATACTCTGGTCAGATCAAATCAACACTTTTTTTTAAACAAGATTGCTTAAGGAGGGTTCAGTGATAGTGCTGTTCTAATAACAGCACTGAAGCTTTTATTCTGGCTATGGGATGTACAGATGGAAAACAAGGAAGGAAATGACAGATCTGTGCTTAGGGCTTTGTCTGGTCAGTTGCAGGCATGTGAGAATAGAGGTTGTGGTGGATTTACCTCCTCACTTCATAAGTGAAGCTCTTGTCCTGAACAAAGTACCTGCTATACCAAAGCTCAGTCTGGTTCATCCAAGTACCCGTAAATGCCCAAAGTTTGTCTGAAAGCAGCCCAGCTATGGCCACAGGCTGCGTCTACCTGGCAGGAATGGTTCTCTTGCGCTGGCCGCTGGAGCAGCTGTATGGAGGCGCTGCTTGGGCTTCAGTGCTGCTCTGCGAAGATTTGCAAGACAGGGATGCTTGGGATGGGCAATCTGTTCTTCCAACCAAGTCACTTGTCTCATGGGCAGAGGGTTGGCTTTGGACTGTACTGTCAGGGGCCAGGCTCTCCTAACCAGAGAACAGGGATATTCTGCTAGGTGGATTTTTCACACCACAGGGTGTATATCGCTGACCTGCCCTTCACCTTTGCCATGTCTGCATGGGTGCCTTTACCCATTACCTTGGACAAGGTAAAGAACTAGAGGTGGGGAGTTCCTTGGGTTTAGAGGTCCTGAGCAAAACTAGTAATTTAACTGCCTGACCGAAGCTTAACAAGCCTGGCCAAGCTTTCTTGAATTTTATATTTATACACTTGAATGACACACCTGTAACTTGAACTCTGGAAAAGGCAGACCCAGGAGAGGAACCAAGGCCTGCCTTCGCTGCAATTCCAGATAGCCACTTCAAGTGACTCTGAGCCTATTGCTTCCCCGCTGAGTGGTAACATGAGGAGGGTTCGGCGGGATGGGATTGAAGTCCCTTACTAAAATTGAACCTGGCTTATTTAGTTTATATATGTTTATTTATAACCGTCTGTGAAGCGAGAATGCAAGTAATTGCTTGAAAAGGGGTTGAAAGCCACTGACTTTGGAGGGTAGGACATAATTCTGCTAATGGAGTAGTAAGTTGCTTCTAAACTTTTAACACTCAACCTGGTCAATCTGTACCGGAGGGAGTTTTGAGCAGTTAAAGCTGCTTCCTGGAATAAAACTTGAAACCCTGAGCTACTTGCTGGGTGTCTCGCTATCTTTGGCTACTAGGAGCTGCGTTTAGGGGAACAAAGCTAATCTTTGTCCTAGGTTACAAATTCCGTGAGCTGTCTTGAGGAGGGACTAAGCAGAAGCACTCAAGTGGCTTTGGAAAAATCGCTGGAGTCACAAGCTCCTGTGGGCTGGGGCCAGCCAGCTAAGCTGCCTGAGTTTTTGCACCAGGGGAACTTGTTGGCAATAGGCCTGTTCTGAAAGCTGTCAAAGCAAATGCTGACCCCCTGCTCCTTTTTCTTGTTCTTGCTAAAATGAAGATGACAAACTGCACAGAAGTCAAGACCTCAATGATTACAGTGGCTGTCACAAAAGCAGCGTGAACTCCAGTTCCCATTACTTAAGTTTAAAGTGTTAGCCATGCATCAATGCGTTCAATTAAAATGTGACCTAAACATCACGCAGGAGCAGCTATTTCCAAGTCCCGTAATGAAAAGCAAAGGGGTTGGCACTTTTCATCATCTGTAGGCATTACTTGTATCTAGTCCCTTCTTTTCTCCGTGCATTCTTTTTCTGTTCATCCTCCTAAAGTCAAAAGCGGAGCTAGTTACAGAGCCCAGAATCTAGGGCAGTCTTTTAAGGATCTCTCCTGTGTGGTGGTATTTCCTACTCACCTACTCGGTGATGAGCTGCTGATTAGAGAGCTCAGAAGGCTATTTCTGCAATCAAATACCTGCTCACGGAGTGAAAAGACCAGAGAAAGTGATCAGGCTGACGAATTTACCGAGTGAGAAAATGTCTCCTGCCCTGCATCCTACAAGGGAGACTACACAGAGGCAACGTGGATTACAACCGGCGGAGACCATACCCGACTTGGGGAACCTCTCCTATTTTATTGCGAGGGTTCATGAGTGGGCAGCTCTGCTTTTTATTCTAAATACAGTGTGTTTTGCAGACTTTCAAGTCAACCTATTGGGGATACATACATAAGAGTAAGCTTCTGTGGGACTTTAGTGTGTGTGGTTGGTCTCACACGCAGACAGCTTCCTTTCTGTCCTTGGGGAGGAGGCAGAAGTGGGCAGGGGACCGCGGTTGGCTGTTTTTCTTGAGGAAAACCTTGACTTATAGCCTCCCTTCTGGATTCTGTGATTTTTATCTGCTTAGTGATGCAAACATCATGACGAATATTCCAGACTGTTGTTGGAAAGAGGAGATAAGAGCCCATCGGAGCCTCCCCTTTAGTGAGCTTAAGCTGTTTTGTGCAAGTCCTGAAGTCTGAAAAATAGAGGTTATTAGAATGAGTTACGTTCTTGGTGTGCGTTGCATTGCCTGGAGGCTGTGCAACTCTGAGGTGTACTTAATGGTTTCTTCCTGATTTTGCTTTTCTTAGGACTGACTCAAATCCCCCAGGTACAAAAGACAGAAATTTCCTTTACTGCCTCCGATCCCAAAAGTTTTGACCTGTATGTGAAGAACCTTGAGAAGTTCTTAAAGGACTACAGCGCTGATCAACAAACTGAAAGCATAGTATTTCAGGACTGTGGGGGTAAGTCCCAATTGTTTCCTGCAGCTGAGGGCTCTGACCAATGCCTCTGCGTCAGGTCCATCAGAAGCCGAGGGTGAGCAGTGGCGGTCTCTGCTTTGGCTGTTCCTTTTATTGCAACCAACGGCATGTTGGTAAACTGGCAGGCTCTGGTTTCAGTCATATGGCTGCTCATTAAATGATTAGTTTGGACAGACCGGACTTGGCCAGGGAAGTACCTAGAAGCTTATTGTAGAGGTTATATGGTTGGGAACTCCCAGATTTCACTTGGAGAAAGTTGCAGCTGGCTCTGAAAAGCACGTGGCGCTGACCTTATCCTCTCGGAAAGCCACGTGGGTTTTACTGACGACTTTGCTAAAGCCAGTGTCGGTCCTCTTGATGCAATGCAGCACAACATCTGGGAGGTACTAGCCTTTAATAGATTAGATGTAATAATGCGGAATGAGACTATCACCTCATAATACGTGCACATAAAATCTGAGGGGAGCACGTAAAATCTGAGGGGAACCTGCTTGTAAAAGCTGCCAAAGAGAATCCCTGAGCCAGTGGATTACAAATGTGTTTGTTCTCTTGTAGTCTGGAAGAATCCTCAGTTAAAAAACAAAACCCCCGCAGACTTGCTGGTCTGGGACCAGCCCACACGTGGGGGGTGGCTGGGTGCAGGTCTGTGGTGTCGCTTACCTGTTTGGACACGGGGGATGTCCTAACTACACAGTGAAGCATAAGTGTTGCTGTTCCTGACAAGCAAAAGGTCACGTTGCATACGGTTGTCTTTTCATTCCCCTTACCGTGACAGACACACCTACCGATTACAAAGAGAGAGGACCATATAATGACGCCCAGGGCCAGAAGAAGGTCTGCAAATTCAAACGTGAATGGCTGGAAAACTGTTCTGGAATAAATGATCCCACCTTTGGGTACAGGGATGGCAAACCATGCATCCTCATCAAGCTCAACAGAATTATCGGCTTCAAACCTAAGGCAAGTACCTCTTCCCTTTCTAGCAGAAGCTACTGATAAGGAGGAGGAGTTGGCTGCAGATTTGCTGTGCCTGCTTTTCTGTCTCTGGAGAGAGATCAGTATCAAACCCTTTCTGTAGAGGAGAAGTTGGGAGACGGTTTGAGTAACTGGCTTTAAAAATACTTTTCATTAGAAAGCAATGAAAACTGCACACCGCAAGTTGGTAACAAGGAGCAATGAACCTCACAGTGCAAACTCCTGGTTATTTATCTGGTAACTTCTGAGCCTCCTAACTGGATTGCTCTAATGGGGTATTTTCTTCAAATGATAAAACCCATTTTAAGTTCCTGTGCTTCCATGGGACCGTCCCGGACCGACTCTTACCTGTGGTAAGATCAGTATGTCGTGTCATGTCCCGATCTACTCCATTCTTTACTCAGGCAGTGTGGAGTTCCCTGCCTTGCTAAGACCACTTAATTAAATGAAGTCATGCTAATACTCACCATCAGACTGATACACAGTCTATAAAGCGTAAACTACATCTGAGAGTCAGGCACGGCTCTTATTGCAATGAAAGGCGAGGAGATCTTTAGGTTATTTAATGCAGTTTCTCAGATGCTGTAGCATGTCTCTGTCACCCGCTTGCTCTGTTCTGCACCTGAAGGCATGTTTGCAGTAATGCTGAAGGATGTTAATCTGGTCGGAATGGCTTTTACTTCTAGTTTTTTCCCCAACACGTTCTATGATTCTATGAAATGCTAAAAAATTCTCTAAGAATTCAGTGGCAGAACACGTAATTGAGTAAGGTGGTGCGCAAACCCCGCCGCTCCATCTTCTGGTTGGAAAACAGTGGAAATGGTGTGCTAAGCCACCTTCACCACCATCCGTCAGTGCAGTCGAGGACGGGGAATGGTGCTGTCTAGCTAATGTTTTGAGGAACATTTTTCTTCGAAGGGAGCCTGCCCTGTGCTAAAAGAAATGAGCTGAATTTTGGCTCATCTGATCCAGGGTGGAAACAGTGGGTGCGTTTAGCCTGTGCTTGGTATGCGGTGGTTGTGGGATGACATAAGATGCGCACGTTTGACTGGGGAAGAGAAGGGTTTGGTATGTTGCTCTTTTCTTTGCCACAGAGCTCTGAAGAGCTCCAGACTGCGTTAGACAGCAGGGTCTAGTCAAGGAATGACTTTACACGTTTTGTTTAGAAATGGTGTGTATCCAAGGCGATATTTGTTTCCCGTGCTCCAGCAGAGACCTTATATAGCTCTTGTGTTGGGCAAGGTGTGTGCAAAGCAGATCTGAGACCTGCAAGGTTGTGAAGCAAAACTACTGCACTTGTTAAGAAGCTGAAGACCAACACCAGAGTTGGCACTCCCACCTCTCCCTGACATACTCGGAGCCTTTGTCCTTCCCTGTAGATGGTGTCAAAGTTCAGCAGCCTCAGGGTGTGACTGCCACTCTTTGTTCTTTCTTGTGCACTTCCAGTCCTAGCTGCACCTGCCTGGCAGGCAGGGGGCACATCCTCCAGCGGGCTCTCCCTGCCGCTGCCTGGGCTTTGCGCAAACAAGCCCCGCTAGCTAGCACTCTGCCGTGAAACACTCTTCCTCAATGACACCACGAAATGGAAAATAGGCTGATCTGCTTGCTTTGGTATCCACGGCAGGGAAGCTGTAAGAACAGATGGCACCTCTGCTTGGGTTAAGTTCCCCGGCTTCTAGTTGTGCTACGCTGCGTGTCTGTCCCAAGAACTACCACCAGGAGCTGTTGCCTCCGAAACTGAGCTAGAAGGGATTCCGGTTAATGGCACGTCTTTGGTACCACTGAGCTTTGCTGCTGCAAAGGTGCCGCAGTCTGCAGAGACGTGTCCGGTGTGTAACGTCCCCTTGTTTTGGGTTTCTTCTAGGCTCCGGTAAATGAGAGCCTCCCTCCAGAGGTTATGGCAAAATACAACCCGTATCTCATCCCTGTCCACTGCACTGGCAAGGTAAGTTGAAATACAGTAGAGCAGAGTCGGGAAGCTGCAGGGGAAGGCTGTCTAGGTCTTTGTCCAAGTGTAGCGACCCCTCTCTGCCTTTCCGCAGACAGCGGGGGTGGTTCTTACTTGGGATATCTCCCCCTTCGGAACAGGAGTTTCTCAAAACCCCATTGGTGACGAATGACAGCACTGCCCTCACAGGGAGGGGTAAAAGCAGGGTCGGACACCAAAGGGTATCCTTGAAAGTAGCTATTTTGCTTCCAAGTGCTGTACTGGAGCTCTTAGCAGGGATGGCTGAAAAAAGGACCCCAGGGAAGAGGTATTTCACTTTGCATTGTAAAGCAGCTGAGAAACGGCAAACTTTTTTTTAACCAAAGATAGCGCGTTGGTATGACAGGAAGCTGTGATGACTTCTGAATGCGTAAAGACGTGGTTGAGTTTTTAAATAAAGAAAAGCCCTTTTCCCGGCTGATGTGTGCTGGGAGGTGCTTATTGCGCAGCTGCTGGTTAGACGGCACTTACGCGTCCTTTCCACCATTGGGACCATCCTCGTGCTGTCAAGACGAGGATCAGTGATGACCGAAGAGCGGGCGCGGTCTCGGTGAAAAACAGATGCTGCTAGGGAAAAGGGCTGCAAAAGGTAGAGTTGGGGTGATTGTCATGGTTTGTTCTTCCTCTTCCCGCCTCCCTAGAGAGAGGACGATGCAGACAAAATAGGCACAGTGGAGTACTATGGGATGGGCGGCTACCCTGGCTTTGCTCTGCAGTACTACCCCTACTACGGCAAGCTCCTGCAGCCGCGGTACCTGCAGCCGCTGGTGGCAGTGCAGTTCACCAACCTGACCTACGACACGGAGGTGCGCGTGGAATGCAGGGCCTATGGGCAGAACATCCAGTACAGCGACAAAGACCGCTTCCAGGGACGCTTTGATATTAAATTTGACATAAAAAGCAGCTGATTGTAAGCACAACTCTCTTCCCCCCCCTCCTCCTCCTAGCCATTTAAAAATGTTAAAAAAAAAAAAAGAACAAAAAAGAAAACCTACTAGTCTTGAACAAACTGTCATACGTATGGGACCTACACGTAATCTATATGCTTTACACTAGCTTTCTGCATTTACTAGGTTAGAATGTAAACAAAGTGTAGCAATAGCCACAAATATTTATTCTACTGTAAATGACAAAAGAAAACAAAATTGAGCCTTGGGACATGCCCATCTTTACTGTAAATTATGATTCCATAACTGACTTGTAGTAAGCAGTGTTTCTGGCCCCTAAGTATTGCTGCCTTGTGTATTTTATTTAGTGTACAGTACTATAGGTGCATACTCTGGTCATTTTTCAAGCCATGTATTGTATCTGTTTTCTACTTCTTGTGAGCAAAGACTTTTGCTGTCCAAGGTGTAAATACTCAATGGGACTAGAACTGGCATGATACTTCTCATTGTTTTGTTCCTTTTCAAAGAAAGGCCCACCTGTGAGACTATATTTAACAGCACTCCATACGGCTTCTGACTTTTCTGTGGTGTTAGGGTATTTTATTTGGAGGGGCGGCAGGGGAAACTAACTTAAGTGAAGTTAAAGAGAGTAGATGATTGTGTACTGTGCTTTGTAGCGAATGCTGTCTCTCTCTCCACTTTTTTCCCTCATCCTCCAGTATGTTGTGTGAGAGACCGGGTCAGACTATCACTCTCCTCGGTGATAGGCATAACTTTTTGCTTTGTATATTTTCCTTTTTTTTTTTTTTTTCCCTGCTGGAGGCATCGCACACTGTGGTGCTAATGTCTTTATTGAATGTTTTAACCATTTTCATGGTGGAAGAATTTTATATTTATGCAGTTGTACAATTTTATTTTTTCTGCAAGAAAGTGTAATGTATGAAATAAACCAAAGTCACATGTTTGAAAATAAATCTTTATTTTAAACTTTATAAAAGCAATGCAGTACCCCATAGAATGGTGTTAAATGTTGTCTAAAGTGCAAAACTCTATGTTCTAACATGTAATAATAGCCAGGAGTACAGTGCTCTTGTTGATCTTGTATTTCAGTCAGGTTGAAACATTGGACAAATAAATGAATGAACACACCATTCTGTGTGCACGTCTCTTGCATTGGGTGAGGGTGCAGCCTGTTAGTTGTCCAGAATCTTGAAGAAGTACTGCACCTATTTTGAACAGAAAATGCATCTTTATTGTTCCCTCCCAGAAGGTCTCGGCTGAAGGTAGTTGAAACATGCATTGGGATTGCCTTAAATTGCTGCTCCCACCTGTGACCAAAGGGGTTACACATCAGCTCTAGAACAGCAGGGTTTGGTGTTAGTTACTTGTTTCCCCCTCTCCTGGGCTGCATTAGAGGCTGCTGTGGCACTTGTGCCTGTGATCGCATCAGTCAGGAACCCAAAAAGTCTTCAGTGTATTCACCGTGGCTGCAAGTTCTCCATGGCTGGAGGCACAGGCCACATGTTCTAGTAGTAACTACAGGTAAAAATGGTTTATCCTTAGGGCGGGTTAAAGCATCCACCCACCAGCGGGATGCGCTGCAGGTCCAGAGGGGAGGGCACACACTGAAGCCACAAGCAGAAGAAATGGAGTTTCACAGCAGCGACTTGTTCTGTGTTGCTGCTTGGCCAATAGCTTGGCCCTGAGAACAGGCTATGCCTGACAGGGCTGCTCAGATGTGACAAAGTGTGGCAGCTGGCTTCCTGCAGGAGTCAAGATCACTTTACGCTGCATGACACAGATTACCAGGGAGAATTTCTCTGTGTAAAGTGACAAAACACGACCATCCTAGAGCAAGCTCCTTTATAAACCCTTCCTGACCAGAAAGCATGATACTGGAAAAGCAAGCTGCTAAACTTTTTGCCATCTGCTAGAGGGAAAAGCATAGTCACGGTACGCTGTGGCGGTTAGCATATGCGTTTGGCTGTTTCATGCTATTCCCAAGGAGCAGGAGCTAGCAGAAATCTTGCCTTCAACTGTTTCATTTGCTGCTGTACGTTTATAGCGTGGCAAGGATTTAACAAAGGTGCTGTGATTAAAGCACTAAAATACAATACTCCCTGAAGGAAGCTCCACATGCACAAAAGCTGCAGGAAAGCTGAGCCATTTTGGCTCCCAGCAACCAACTGGTGGGTGCACTGCTGGGGGGGGGTTGCATGGCTTAAGGTTTGGTAGGATCAACTGCCCCTACAATTCGATTCTTAGGTGCACAGCCTGTGACAGTTTAAAAAAAAAAAAAACAAACCAAAAAACTCCCGCACTGCTTTATTTCTAAAAGACCCAACTCATGGTTAGATAATTTATCTCCTTTTAATTTACTATATGAGCGCAAAGTCCAAGCATGAACTAGTAATAAAGATAATGGCTTATTCCAGGGGTTGGGACAAACATTGTAGAAAACTGATGGTGCCTGTGTTGGCTTCAGTGAGCAAGTGTCAAAAGGGGCTCGTATAACGTACTCTTAGTGATGGCATATGAAATAAAGCAAAAAAACCCCACCCTTTACCCCCCCATCACTTTCTAGTACCAGATCGGTCCAAGCAGGATGGCCCGCTCTGATCACTAATTAACTAGGTCCTAACGGCAGTAGCT